CCAGACAGTCTGCCTGGGTGCAGGTCGTCAGCTGATTCATCCTGGTACTGGGACCCGCAACTCATCAGAAAATATTAATAAAAATAACATTTATAAATAGGATATTTTAATAATGTGCATTACCATGCTTTTGCCCACTTTTGTTATGAAAGTAAAAATTAGATATATGAGAAGCATAAAAATATCACAGAACCATAGAATTGTGAAGTTGAACATAATTAAAAATATCATCAGTCTAACATTCTATAATGTACAGAAAAGCAACCAACTGTATCCATAAAACGGGGCAGATCAACATTCTCTTAGAAACGTCCAGAAATGGATAACTCACAACTTCCATTGACTGACCTATTTGTATAAATCTTGCCCCCAGGAAGTTTTTGTTTGTATAAAACCTACATAGCTGCACTCACAATCATTATTTCTGGTTCTAATTTCTGTGGAAATGGAAAATACTTTCTTCGCATCTTTCCCATGGAACATTTTTACAAATCTGAACGCTGATATCAAATATCCTTTCAGTTTTTTTCTCCAACCTTTCTTCAAAATTTGATTACAAATTTATTTATTCAAATTCAATTTCTGTGACATGTATATGTGTTAAGTGTGCATGCCTACTCCAATGGACTCTGGGTGGCATACAAAACTGGAAAACAACGGGTAGTAACATCGGAGCAGTGCGGGGAAATGGGGCTCTGTTATTCCCATCCAATTTCACCTGTTTGGCGACCCTCGATGGGTATGGTTAACCCCAGAGGGGTTAAAGAAGGTAGAGGGGAAACCCTGAAGTCTGCATGGAGAAAGGCAATCTCCTGCTAGAAGGAGGGGAAAACTCTTAGAGCTGACAGGAGAGAAGACAGACATCATAGCCAAACCGAAGCTGTGACAGCTTGATGAGACAGGAAGGCAAAATCGAAGAACAGTGTAGCTGTACTGGTGAGAACTTTCTAATCTGCTTCAAGTGAATCTGCCCCAACATAACAAATTGAAAAGAGGGAAAGTGGGACTCAAAAGAAGGGCTGGAGCAGGATTTCTGCTCCATGAGACTAGTGGCAACTAAACTGTCAGAGCCATTGACATATCTGGAAAGAATAACAGAAGGACTTTAAAGAAATGGAGCAGGAAAGCCTAGACCAAACATTTAGTAAGGATACTAAAAAAATTTAAGACCAAGAATATGTTTTTTATAACTGTGGTCGGACTGATTTTGGACTCAGAAGCTTAAGGAAGAAAAAAAGGGGGGGAAAGGAGTAAGGGCACCATCTACTGACCAGAAGAGTGCATATGAAAGAGAAGTGACTGATGTAATATCTACAAAGTTTTCAACTAATTTGAAGGTGGAAAAGTGATAAAAAAGGAAGAGAAAAATCTTTGATGAATTTGGGAACTGTGCATCAATTTAGATAGAGACTGTCTTGGAAAAAAAGTTTAGCCATCTGAGAGACTTTGGGATCATGGTGGATTATAAATTCTGATCTGCAAAAAGTTTCCCAAAGGACCACAACAAGAACAGTGTGGATTAATTTAACATGGACTATAAATTTGACAGTTCAAGAAGAAACGGAGGAAGCACTTACCCTTAAGACTTATGAGGAACTAATTATTACTTAAGAACATTTACCATTTATTAACTACTGAATCATTAACAGGGTAATTGATTAGATCTATATATATTCTTTTGAGATTGTGGGTTCATCCTTATTGATAAATTTATTAACATAATACTAGAGAGTGGAAGGTGGCATAACAAGTGGTGCAGTGTAAAAATAACTACTGTGTCTGCTAATTTGGAGAAGCACCTTCAGATTGGAGATGACAAGTATACTGAACATATCAAAGATAGGAAAGAAAACTTCATTAACATCTACACCCTCATCATAACCATTTAATTAATGATCGATAGAAAGCATGTTAGCCTTGGAGAACTCAAGCTCAATGCAGAATATGTGATTCTACTTTAAATCCAGGAAGCGATGACCAAAAGCCAGGAAGTTATGTCCAAAAATCCAAAGCGAAATGGGGGAGATGAAGGGGGAGATTCGTAAAATGGATGAAAAGATTGTGAGTATTCAACATACAATAATGAAGAATGAGCAGAGAATACAGAGAATAGAAACAAAGACTGAACAAACAGGAAAAAGTGGAAGAAATAGATCATAAACTATCCCAGGCTAACAGAGAATTAGAAAAGACAATAATCTTCCTTGAAATAGAAAAGGTGACGTTTTACCTGAGGTTCCAGAACATCGTGGTAGAAGAGGAAGACCTGTTTGAGGTGATGACAGAACTGCTGGCGGAAGTATTACAGAAGAATAAACATGAGATACAAAGAGATATTGATGAACTTTTTAGAATTCACACAAATTATGCAAGAAGGCATAGATTATCAAAAGAGGTGAACATGAGGTTCGCCAAGAAGATGCTGAGAGATGACATATACAAAAAAAACAAGAGATGAACCCATGAAGTACAAAGGGAAAGAAATCTTGACCCTAAAACAGATACCTAGGAGTGTCAGAGAGCAGAGACAGTATCAATTTTTAACAGCACAACTGATTAAATATAGTGTGACATTTAGATGGCAGATACCAGAAGGAATTCTGATCTCCTGGCAAGATAAAGAATTCAGGATAGCTTAGATAAAGCACATGAACTTTTTGAACATCACTGTATAGCAAACGAAGAACAGGAAAGTAGAGAGGAGATAGAAAGTAAAGTCAAGATGAACTGCAAATAGAAGAAAAAATTGTAGAACAAGAAGGAGGGTGGAGAGTGAGCGGGACGAACGAGAAGGTGAAAGAAAACAGAGAGAGATAAGAACAACTAGAAGGGTAAAAGCTATATATAAGTGAAAAGATGGAAGAGGAAGTAAACCTGTTAACATTAATGGATTCAGAGATGGCATTCAGCCGGTTCTTACTGGTTCAGGCGAACTGATAGCGACGATTTGGCATCGGTTGCTGAACCGGTAGTGACTTCTGGCTGGCCCTGCCCCTGAACCGGTCACCCGGTCGCCACTTGCTCGCTTGCCCGATGCTCGCTCACCCCACCTGCCCAATGCTCACCCCGCCCAGTCACTCACCTCCTATGTGACATGCTGGGTCCTTGTGTCTTGCCTTTAACCTGCCTGTTCACAGATAAGCCTGCAAGTCATGCTAGCCTCCCAGTTCCGGGATCTTGCTGCCCCCCCCCCCCACCATTCCCAGATCTTGGTGGTATGTGTGTGTGTGAGATAGAGAGAGAGAGGAAAGAAAGAAAGAAAGAAAGAAAGAAAGAAAGAAAGAAAGAAAGAA